GCTTTGCACTTTAACGCAAAGTTTAAAGCCATTTTCAAAGCTGGGCTTAAAGTCAATATGTATAAAATTAGAAAAGACGAGATATTAGCACTGCAAGGTACTGTCCGTCCTTTCCTTTTCTGATGATTTTGAGTAATCTTTGTGACGTGGACAAAGTAAAGAATACACAATGGAGATGTAAAGTAAACCTCTCTTATATCACTTCATAAAAGTTACATAGGATGTGCATGTGGGATGAGTTTACAGTTTTGAGCGTATGACGAAGATTACTTCTCAAAGGAAATAGTGGACACAAGAACGCGTAATCCGCTTCTAGTATTTCATTGGTAAAAAACGAAAACTTGAACATAATCCAAACAACTAAGTCCTAAAAATGAATAAAGTAGTCCAATTTTGGTTCATAAATTTAAATTAAGATACAAATGGGAAGAATTTTTTGATCAATATTTTGGATTTCGAACCGACGACCCTCAGATTAAAAGTCTCGTGCTATAACGAATGAGGAAGACGGGTTACTTGTTTGGAAACGATTGAATGGTTTACTCGGGTTGTTGTATGCAAAATTGCTTAATTGTTATTTCCAAACGTTTACGTAGCTAGAGTCTAGAGTTCTTTAGATATTAGTTATATGCCTCTTATGTAAAAGTAATACAATTTCTCTGGCAACCAACTTTACACGTCAGACCTACAGGTTTGCTACAACAAGAACTGCAGAAATGTAAAATCTTACATTCTCCCTTTTCTCCATGATTCTGTCACAAAATTCAGTGTCACATATGTACATCACCAATCTAGATCTTTTTCAACAAAATGCCGTCCTTGTATACTGGTAAAGTAATTAATGTTTGAATAAAATGATCCTGTCAGTTGAAAGCTTTCGCACCTAGCTGTTCGAGAAGATCTAGGTAGTACAGTATCTTAAGCTAACAATATTAGCAAGACCTGTAGGAAAACTGCATAAATCAGTACATAATCAACTGGATACATACGGAATTAAAATATAAAATAATCTTACTAACATGCCAATTGAGCCCTTAACTGTAATTGGTGTTGGTCTTATCTATTTACTGCGTTCTAGTTATCCAACTACTTATTCTTTTCTCCCATGAAATTCTTAAAAAATACTTTGAGGACACTAAACGCGATATTTGTACAATTTTTGTCTTGCTGCTAATGAACAGTGATGCAGAATTTTATCATAATACATTTGTTGGTGATTGGACGAGTTTTAGAACAGACAAATGAGACTAAATTTACAATCACGCTGTTCAAATGAAATGTGCAATCAAATGGCATTCATATCTTCAGTAATGGCCCATTGCACCGACCGTGTTGTTAAGTATACATACTTGGAGTAACTCACTTAATAAATCTCAGACGTGATAAGGATGTTCCATGCAACCTGAAATATACCATTTTGTGCAAACTACATAAGGATATAACTGGCACGCTTGTGCAAAATAGGTTTTCTAACATGTGTCATTTATGCGTGCATTCATCAGATTCATGAAAGGGACACGATGCAAGCGCAGGTATGAAATTGTTTTACATTAAGCTTCCGGTTGAGGCGACATAAATGAACTGGGAGCCAAGAAAGTCAGTGTCTGTTCCTTTCTCCCGCTAGTCATCGTAATGCTGTAATAAGCTGCAGGCAATGAACCTGGGGAAAGACTCAAACGTAGTTTAAGATTGCCATGTTATAGCAGTTCAGGTGTAACTCAACATAATTTTATTATATTACTAGTGCAAGAGTTTGTTTTGAATATGGAATAAGATTCAAATACTGTATGATATCTTCCATTTGGTATCTCCAGTAATTGTCTCCGGAATATCATGAACATTAAAGTAAGTCTATATTTGTATTTGTTGTGTTATTGTGCAGTTCATTGCAATCAGCAGTGAGAGTTTTATGAAAATGATTTGAGAATCAGGAGCCGAAATGCTGATGATATGAATTTGGTTCATTTGATTTGCTTAGTTGTAGACAGAACAATAAATATATCAAATACATCTTTCACCAGGAAAAGATGGAAATTTGAGGAGCTATTGGTTAAGTCAAGTATGTATAGGAATTGCAATTATGAAAAAGGTCTGGCGCATTTACTTGAGTGTATTTCTAGGGATAATTACATGCATAATCAATGCCATAATCATTAGATTGATAACGGATGTTTGGCAAGCAGGAAGACAATGGAAAGGTAATGAATTTGAAATCGAAACACTAATATTCCACTTAAACCTAATTATATGAAAGTATCTGTGCTTGTTTCATCAACTCTGTTAATTTGTATCCAATACATACGTGTGTAAAATGTAGTGAAACATTACAAATCGTAATAAAATATTTGCGCCCACCGTGGGACTTGAACCCACGACCCTCAGATTAAAAGTCTGATGCTCTACCGACTGAGCTAGGTGGGCTACTTGATAGGAAATAGTTGAAAGTTTGTTCGTTCAGTTTTGCACAAGGTGTTTGATCATTGTTTCCACATGTTCACAAACAGAACTTCTAGATTAATTTGTATATAGACATTGTAATGTCTATATTAAGGAATAACAACAGGTACGTGGGAGTGGGATAGCTTATTCAACTGAATTTTATTAGAAAAGTCTTGAATTAAATAACCTAAAACATCTAATGCATCATATGCAAATTAAATGTAGTAATCTAACGATACGAACAATAAAATAAAATATGCTTTGCACTTTAACGCAAAGTTTAAAGCCATTTTCAAAGCTGGGCTTAAAGTCAATATGTATAAAATTAGAAAAGACGAGATATTAGCACTGCAAGGTACTGTCCGTCCTTTCCTTTTCTGATGATTTTGAGTAATCTTTGTGACGTGGACAAAGTAAAGAATACACAATGGAGATGTAAAGTAAACCTCTCTTATATCACTTCATAAAAGTTACATAGGATGTGCATGTGGGATGAGTTTACAGTTTTGAGCGTATGACGAAGATTACTTCTCAAAGGAAATAGTGGACACAAGAACGCGTAATCCGCTTCTAGGATTTCATTGGTAAAAAACGAAAACTTGAACATAATCCAAACAACTAAGTCCTAAAAATGAATAAAGTAGTCCAATTTTGGTTCATAAATTTAAATTAAGATACAAATGGGAAGAATTTTTTGATCAATATTTTGGATTTCGAACCGACGACCCTCAGATTAAAAGTCTCGTGCTATAACGAATGAGGAAGACGGGTTACTTGTTTGGAAACGATTGAATGGTTTACTCGGGTTGTTGTATGCAAAATTGCTTAATTGTTATCTCCAAACGTTTACGTAGCTAGAATCTAGAGTTCTTTAGATATTAGTTATATGCCTCTTATGTAAAAGTAATACAATTTCTCTGGCAACCAACTTTACACGTCATACCTACCGGTTTTCTACAACAAGAACTGCAGAAATGTAAAATCTTACATTCTCCCTTTTCTCCATGATTCTGTCACAAAATTCAGTGTCACATATGTACATCACCAATCTTGATCTTTTTCAACAAAATGCCTTCCTTGTATACTGGTTAAATAATCAATGTTTGAATAAAATGATAATGTCAGTTGAAAGCTTTCCTACGTAGCTGTTTTACATGTATTCTTAGATTTATTTGGTCAGGAAAGTCCCATTTAGTCAACTATTATACGCTAATTGGGAATAAGCGAAACGGAGGACTACAGTTAACTGATATAAAGACGAAAATGTATGCATTCAGACTAAAATTTTTAAAAAGATACTTTGATACGAATTGTCATACTATGTGGAAAACTACCTTTGATTACATTTTATCTACTGTTCTGAACATGAAGTTGACCAAAGATTTATTTCTCATGTCCTTAAATAAGCAACAATTGAATACCCTCCCTATATTTTACAGAGAAATATTTTATGCATGGGAAAAAATTAGAAATAATATTGACACAAATATTGATGTGAAGAATGTTTTTGAACAACCTCTTTTTTAAATCCTAATATTACTTATGCTGGTAAAAAGTTATTTTTCGTAGAATTTATAAAAGCAGGAATTGTTCGTGTTCAGGACATTACATATGAGTTTATACCTGGCTTATTACCTTATAGAGCTATTCAAGAAATAATATACGAATCAAATCCTGAGATAAAAGCCGAAAAGATAAAAAAGACTATAATTGCATACTAGAAAGTTTACCATTAAACTGGAGACATATTCTTACAAAAGAGTCAAAACCTACTGAAACAAATAAGAATATATATATCTCAAAGATGGTACTAAATTGTATGACCTATGTTCAAGCACAACACAAATATTTTACAAACTTTTGTCTACTTCCTTTTTTTCAAGAACCATCTTCGGTTTGCTTTTGGAGTAAGATGTTTAGTTTAGAAAAGCTAGACAACTGGAAATTAATTAACTTGCCTTTCAAAACCCCAGATTGTATGGAATTAGATTATAAAATAATGCACAATCGAATATTTACAAAAGAAAGACTGAAATATTATGGCAAAATTGATAATGGCAAGTGTCCAGTCTGCCAGTTGGAAACGGAATATTTATTTCATATGTTTTTAAAATGTCCTGAACTAAGTTCTTTTAAAAATTATATTGTATATATTGTAGAGATTCTTTTCAAACCTGTAGACTTGATGTTCTTCATAGTATTTCCTTTGAACAAATGTTGATGATATGATATAACAAAGAAGTAGTATCAGTCAATAGTTATATCTTAAACTACATTCTGAGCCTTACTTGATTGTGTATTTACAAAAGACGAAACAGCATGTCGACAATAGGGAAGAAAATAGACATAGAAAAAATGTTTAAATATTTGACTAGGAAATACATATTATATGTGTATCAAAATTACAAAGACAAAGATCAGACTTTGTTTACAAAATATTTTGTACAAGACAATCCGCTAATAAGAGTAAAAGAGGAAAAAATGTTTCTCACTATGTAAAATTAACGATTTGTAATACTATGTACATACTGACTGTAAACTTTTAATCTACATCTTGTAAAGAACGCTGTTTTTTAAATAAAGAATATTAAAAAAGCATCAGACTTTTAATCTGAGGGTCGTGGGTTCAAGTCCCACGGTGGGCGCAAATATTTTATTACGATTTGTAATGTTCCACTACATTTTACACACGTATGTATTGGATACAAATTAACAGAATTGATGAAACAAGCAGAGATTCGTTTCATATAATTAGGTTTAAGTGGAATTTTACAGTGTTTCGATTTCAAATTCATTACCTCTTCATTGTCTTCCTGGTTGCCAAACATCCTTATCAATCTAATGATTATGGTTCTGATTATGCATGTACTCATCCCTAGAAATACACTCAAGTAAATGCACCAGACCTTTTTCATAATTGCCATTCGTATGCATACATACAAATACAAATATAGACTTTAATGTTCATGATATTCCGGAGACAATAATTGGAGATCCCAAATGGAAGATATCATACAGTATTTGAATCTTATTCCATATTCAAAACAAACTCTTGCACTAACAACATAATAAGATTATGTCGAGTTACACCTGAATTGCTGTAACATGGCAATCTTAAACTACGTTTGAGTCTTTCTCCAGGTTCATTGCCTGTATCTTATTACAGCATTACGATGACTAGCGAGAGAAAGGATTAGACACTGAATTTTTTGGCTACCAGTTCATTCATGACGCCTCAACCGGAAGTTTAATGTATAAAAATTTCATACCTGCGCTTGCATCGTGTCCCCTTCATGAATCTGATGAATGCACGCATAAATGAAACACGTTAGAACACCTATTTTGCACAAGCTTGCCAATTATATCCTCATGTAGTTTGCACAAAATGGTATATTTCAGGTTGCATGGAACATCCTTATCACGTCTGAGACTTATTAAGTGAGTTACTCCAAGTATGTATACTTAACAACACAGTCAGTGCAATGGGCCATTACTGAAGATATGAATGCCATTTGTTTGCGCATATCAAATGAACAGCGTGATTGTAAATTTAGTCTCATTTGTCTGTTCTAAAACTCGTCGAATCACCAACAAAAGTATTATGATAAAATACTGCATCACTGTTCATTAGGAGCAAGACAAAAACTGTACAAATAGAGCGTTTAGTGTCTTCAAAGTATTTTTTAAGAATTTCATCTGAAAAAAGAATAAGTAGTTGGATAACTAGAACGCAGTAAATAGATAAGACCAACACCAATTACAGTTAAGGGCTCAATTGGCAAGTCAGTAAGATTATTTTATATTTCAATTCCGTATGTATCCAGTTGATTATGTACTGATTTATGCAGTTTTGCTACAGGTCTTGCTAATATTGTTAGCTTAAGATAATGTACTACATAGAACTTCTCGAACAGCTACGTAGGAAAGCTTTCAACTGACATGATCATTTTAATCATACATTAATTACTTAACCAGTATACAAGGAAGGCATTTTGTTGAAAAAGATCAAGATTGGTGATGTACATATGTGACACTGAATTTTGTGACAGATTCATGGAGAAAAGGGAGAATGTAAGATTTTACATTTCTGCAGTTCTTCTTGTAGGAAACCTGTAGGTCTGACGTGTAAAGCTGGTTGCCAGATAAATTGTATTACTTATACATAAGAGATATATAACTAATATCTAAAGAACTCTAGATTCTAGCTACGAAAAAGTTTGGAGATAACAATTATGCAATTTTGCATCCAACAACCCGAGTAAACCATTTGATTGTTTCCAAACAAGTAACCCGACTTACTCATTCGTTATAGCACGAGACTTTTAATCTGAGGGTCGTCGGTTCGAAATCCAAAATATTGATCAAAACATTCTTCCCATTTGTATCTTAATTTAAATTTATGAACAAAAATTGGACTACTTTATTTATTTTTAGGACTTAGTTGTTTGGATTATGTTCAAGTTTTCGTTTTTTACCAATGAAATCCTAGAAGCGGATTACGCGTTCTTGTGTCCACTATTTCCTTTGAGAAGTAATCTTCGTTATTCGCTCAAAACTGTAAACTCATCCCACATGCATATCCTATGTAACTTTTAGGAAGTGATATAAGAGAGGTTTACTTTACATCTCCATTGTGTATTCTTTACTTTGTCCACGTCACAAAGATTACTCAAAATCATCAGAAAAGGAAACGACGGACAGTACATTGCAGTGCTAATCTCTCATCTTTTCTAATTTTATACATATTGACTTTTAGGCCCAGCTTTAAAACTGGCTTTAAACTTTGCGTTACAGTGCAAAGTATATTTTATATTATTGTTCGTATCGTTAGATTACTACATTTAATTTGCATATGATGCATTAGATGCTTTTGGTAATTTAATTCAAGACTTTTCTAATAAAATTAACTTTAAAAAGCTATCCCACTCCCACGTACCTGTTGTTATTCCTTAATATAGACATTACAATGTCTATATACAAAATAATCTAGAAGTTCTGTTTGTGAACATGTGGAAACAATGATCAAACACCTTGTGCAAAACTGAGCGAACAAATTTTCAACTATTTCCTATCAAGTAGCCCAACTAGCTCAGTCGGTAGAGCATCAGACTTTTAATCTGAGGGTCGTGGGTTCAAGTCCCACGGTGGGCGCAAATATTTTATTACGATTTGTAATGCTCCACTACATTTTACACACGTATGTATTGGATACAAATTAACAGAGTTGATGAAACAAGCACAGATACTTTCATATAATTAGGTTTAAGTGGAATATTAGAGTTTCGATTTCAAATTCATTACCTTTTCATTGTCTTCCTGGTTGCCAAACATCCGTTATCAATCTAATGATTATGGTACTGATTATGCATGTAATTATCCTTAGAAATACACTCAAGTAAATGCGCCAGACCTTTTTCATAATTGCAATTCCTATACATACTTGACTTAAGCAATAGCTCCTCAAATTTCCATCTTTCCCTGGTGACAGATGTATTTGATATATTTATTGTTCAGTCTACAACTAAGCAAATCAAATGAACCAAATTCATATCATCAGCATTTCGGCTCCTGATTCTCAAATCATTTTCATAAAACTCTCACTGCTGATTTCAATGAACTGCACTATAACACAACAAATACAAATATAGACTTACGTTAATATTCATGATATTCCGGAGACAATAACTGGAGATACCAAATGGAAGATATCATACAGTATTTGAATCTTATTCCATATTCAAAACAAACTCTTGCACTAGTAATATAATAAAATTATGTTGAGTTACACCTGAACTGCTATAACATGGCAATCTTAAACTACGTTTGAGTCTTTCCCCAGGTTCATTGCCTGCAGCTTATTACAGCATTACGATGACTAGCGGGAAAAAGGAACAGACACTGACTTTCTTGGCTCCCAGTTCATTTATGTCGCCTCAACCGGAAGCTTAATGTAAAAAAATTTCATACCTGCGCTTGCATCGTGTCCCTTTCATGAATCTGATGAATGCACGCATAAATGACACATGTTAGAAAACCTATTTTGCACAAGCGTGCCAGTTATATCCTTATGTAGTTTGCACAAAATGGTATATTTCAGGTTGCATGGAACATCCTTATCACGTCTGAGATTTATTAAGTGAGTTACTCCAAGTATGTATACTTAACAACACGGTCGGTACAATGGGCCATTACTGAAGATATGAATGCCATTTGATTGCACATTTCATTTGAACAGCGTGATTGTAAATTTAGTCTCATTTGTCTGTTCTAAAACTCGTCGAATCACCAAAAAAAGTATTATGATAAAATACTGCATCACTGTTCATTAGCAGCAAGACAAAAATTGTACAAATATCGCGTTTAGTGTCCTCAAAGTATTTTTTAAGAATTTCATGGGAGAAAAGAATAAGTAGTTGGATAACTAGAACGCAGTAAATAGATAAGACCAACACCAATTACAGTTAAAAGAAAACAAATGGCATTCATATCTTCAGTAATGTGCCATTGCACTGACTGTGTTGTTAAGTATACATACTTGGAGTAACTCACTTAATAAATCTCAGACGTGATAAGGATGTTCCATGCAACCTGAAATATACCATTTTGTGCAAACTACATGAGGATATAATTGGCAAGCTTGTGCAAAATAGGTGTTCTAACGTGTTTCATTTATGCGTGCATTCATCAGATTCATGAAGGGGACACGATGCCAGCGCAGGTATGAAATTTTTATACATTAAAACTTCCGGTTGAGGCGTCATGAATGAACTGACAGCCAAGAAATTCATCTAATGCATCATATGCAAATTAAATGTAGTTATCTAACGATACGAACAATAATATAAAATATACTTTGCACTGTAACGCAAAGTTTAAAGCCATTTTTAAAGCAGGGCCTAAAAGTCAATATGTATAAAATTAGAAAAGACGAGAGATTAGCACTGCAAGGTCCTGTCCGTCGTTTCCTTTTCTGATGATTTTGAGTAATCTTTGTGACGTGGACAAAGTAAAGAATACACAATGGAGATGTAAAGTAAACCTCTCTTATGTCACTTCATAAAAGTTACATAGGATGTTAATGTGGGATGAGTTTACAGTTTTGAGCGAATAACGAAGATCACTTCTCAAAGGAAATAGTGGACACAAGAAGGCGTAATCCGCTTCTAGGATTTCATTTGTAAAAAAACGAAAACTTGAACATAATCCGAACAACTAAATCCTAAAAATGAATAAAGTAGTCCAATTTTCAATCATAAATTTAAATTAAGATACAAATGGGAAGAATATTTTGATCAATATTTTGGATTTCGAACCGACGACCCTCAGATTAAAAGTCTCGTGCTATAACGACTGAGGAAGTCGAGTTACTTGTTTGGAAATGATCGAATTTTTTACTCGGGTTGTTATGTGAAAAATTGCTTAATTGTTATCTCCAAACTTTTACGTAGCTAGAATCTAGAGTTCTTTAGATATTAGTTATATGTCTCTTATGTAAAAGTAATACAATTTATCTGGCAACCAACTTTACACGTCAGACCTACAGGTTTGCTACAAGAAGAACTGCAGAAATGTAAAATCTTACATTCTCCCTTTTCTCCATGAATCTGTCACAAAATTCAGTGTCACATATGTACATCACCAATCT